GTCCATGAGCAGGCTTGCCTTGGAGATCCTTCAAGAGAATGTAGACGGAGGGAAAACCCCTGGCCTGGCAGCACAGGTGCCAGTAGGAGGAGACTGTTAACTCAGAAAGGACTCAGATATCAGGCCAGGAGGCCATACTCCCTGGAGGACTGAATTTCTGCTGTATATGTGCTGTAATGTATTGGTTGTTTCTAGTGCTGAAGTGAGACCACAGCTCTATACTTCCCAGACACCTATTCCATCTAAGGCCACCAAACTTTGGGTATATCTCTAGAAGACATAAGAGGGCAACCAAGAGTCAACTTCACACCCTGCATCCTTATCTATATATATAAAAGCCAAGCAACCAGAATGCCAGAATGACTGGAATGACGGGAACAACCAGTCGCTATGACACGCACTGCAGCTGGCCAACCAGCCCGATGGTGGGCGGCCCCTCCCCTCAGCCAGCCCTGCCCCCAATTGGCCCTCCCAACCCAGATCGGGGGTGGGTTGGCTGGCCAACCTCTCGTGGCCCCTCCCCCCCTGGCCAGACCCGCCCCAACCCACCCCCAATGGGGCGGGCCAGCCAGACCCCACCTGTGCACAAATTCATGCACTGGGCCTCTAGTCTATAATAATGAAAGTATAATATGCTAATTAGACCAGACATCCTTCCGGACAACCTTCCGGACAAAGCCGGGGCTTTGAGGGAAGCCTGGGTCCCGGGTGCCAGAGGGAAGCCGGTGCTGGCAACCGGGGATAGGAAGGCCTACTCTTGCACGAATTTCGTGCATCGGGCCTCTAGTCTTACATAAATCCTTTGATCTAGTTTTTTGTAAACCAAAGTAAAAGTTACCTTAAACTAGGTGCAAGTCATTATTCTTATTCAGGAGGGAATTCATATTGATAGGAGGAATAACCTCGTAAGAAAATATGTAGTTTCAAATGTTTATACACCCAACAAAATATCTTTCTAATAAAAAGCAAAAAGTGATATGAATAAAAGATGAAATTTTAAAAAGGCACATAGTAGGATACTTTAACATCTCTCAGAAACTGAGAGATCAAGAAGACAAAAAGTTAGTAAGGCTATAAATGATTTGAAGAGTGCAATTAATCTTTATCTAGCAAATGTACACAATATTTCACTCCTCAAACCAAAGAACATATATTCTTCCCAAATATATCAAACATTCATGAAAATGACCTGTGTTACACCACAAACTTTAAAAATAAAGTAGCCCAGCCCTAACCGGTTTGGCTCAGTGGATAGAGTGTCGGCCTGCGGACTGAATAGTTCCAGGTTTGATTCTGGCCAAGGGCATGTACCTGGGTTGCGGGCACATCCCCAGTGGGGAGTGTGCAGGAGGCAGCTGACCGATGTTTCTCCCTCATCAATGTTTCTAACTCTCTATCCCTCTCCCTTCCTCTCTGTAAAAAATCAATAAAATGTATTTTTTTTTAAAGTAGCCCAGGTCGACATGCTCAGTGGTTAGAGCAGGGTGGAGACCTTCTAGCCTTCGGACTATATAAGGCCCATAAAATCATTTGGTCTGGCCCTGCCAAGGCATTAGGGGTGAGTTAATTAAATGTTTGACCAAATAAAGCAGGCTGACTTTTAAGTTAATAATTTTGTATGGCCAGCAAGTGATGTTATAAATATCCAAAAGGCTCTTGGCAGTAAACAAGCTCCCCACCCCTGGGTTAGAGTGTTGACCTGCGCACTGGAGGGTCTTGAATTCGATTCTGGTCAAGGGCATGTACCTGGGTTGCAGGTTTGATCCCCACCCCGATATATGTGGGGCATATGTGGGAGGCAACCAATCAATGTGTGCCTCTCACATCAATGCTTCTCTCTCTTTCTCTCCTCTCTTTCTCTCTCCCCCTCCCTCTCCCTCTCTGTAATAAATAAAAATATATTTTTAAAAAATAAACAAAAAATAAAATCACATGAGCTATAGTCACTGAATACAATGCAATATAGAATTAATATGCCAACAAAAGGGGAGTATTCCTAACAATATAGAGATTTAGCAAAAGAACATAATGTGTATCAATACATTACACCAATAAATATGAAAATCTGGATGAAATGGATGATTTACTTGGAAAATATATAATTTATCTTATATAGACTCAAAAAGTAGAAAAACCTCCATATTTCCAATAATTCTAGAAAGATATTGAAAAATGCAGTCAATTCCTAAAAAGTTTATGAGATTACCATCCAAAAATTAATAGGCTTTGGTTAATAATAGCAATAACAAATATATAAAAATAAGCAAGAAGATTAAATTAGCAATGACAATTACCCTTATGAAATACCTGAGAATAAATGTAATAAAATACTCAAATCACTATGAAATAATATTAAAAAGACCGAAAATAAAACATCTATATATTATGTTCATGGGTAAATGTCTCAATATGGTAAAGATAGCACTTCTTAGCTAAATACCATATTTATAAATTCAGTACAGTCTCAATCTAAAGCTCAATGGGGTTTTCCATGGACCTTAGGGATCTGTTTAAAAAATTAGTATAAATGTTGCCCTAGCTAGTTTGGCTCAGTGGATAGAGCATCAGCCTGCAGACTGAAGGGTCCCAGGTTCAATCCCGGTCAAGGGCACGTACCTCGATTGCAGGCTCGATCCCCGGCCCTGGTCAGGACAAATGCAGGAGGCCACTAATTAATGTGTCTCTCTCACATCGATATTTCTCTCTCTGTCTTTCCCCCTCCCTTCTACTCTCTCTAAAAATCAATGGAAAAATATCCTTAAGTGAGGATTAACAAAAAGAATTAGTATAAATGTTTAAATGTACAAAATAGCCAAGACAATTTTGAAATGAGACTAATCCTATATAATAAAACCCCAATATGCAAATCAACTGAAAGGTGGAATGACTGGTCTCTATGACATGCACTGACCACCAGGGGGCATACGCTCAAAGCAGGAGCTGCCTGCTGATGGTCAGTGCTCTCCCACAGGGGGAGCACCGCTCAGCCAAAAGCCGGGCTCATGGTGGCAGGAGCCTCTCCTGCCTCAGAGGCAGCGCTAAGGATGTCCGTCAGTTGGACATCCCCCGAGGGCTCCCGGACTGCGAGAGGGTGCAGGCCGGGCTAAGGGGGACTCCCCCACCCACCCCCCCCGCACGAATTTCATGAACCAGACCTTAGTATGTTATAAAACAATCGCAATTTAAGCAATACTTTGATTTCTTGTGGATTTGTTCAGGAAAGACAAATCAACAGATTAGGAAAGTGTAGTTTCTCCTAAAAAAGAACTATCAATT